GATGTTGTGTCCGCCGAAAACTAAAAAATAAATATTAAGAAACTCTGAAAAAAAAAAGAATTCTGTCAGAATATATTCAATATGTATATTGATTGGTATAATATGTGCCATGCTGGGTATTAATACAGGAAGTTTAAGGCTCATGAACTTCTCTGAAAGGTCCACAATCTATTTGTTTACTAATGTTAACAAGCACTACAGTTGAAAGGGTGAGCAAAGAACGTAGAAGAAAGGGAAGGTATTTTTAGCCACATAAAATAACAATTCTTTTTGATATATGTCTTATTTTTTCTCCATTTTTGATATAGGAGAGTATATATATCTTACCTCGATAGTGTTCATTTCTTCCGTCCTAAATGCTTGAGGACTGCAGTCTATCATGAAATTCTAATTGGATATTTAGAATATGTCAAGAAATTGGGGTAAGTATATTRATTATTTCTTTTAAATAACGTTGTTGTGGTGAGAACATAGGCGGAAATGTTTAAATACATAATTTTTACCTTTTCCTGACCTTGGTCTTATCTCACATTAACTATAATCTGAACATTATTGAAGCCCCTCTGAAGTTAATGCTACTAATACAAAGGATTATTTTCCTAGTTTCAGCCATCCTACTTTAGCTTTATTTATTTATTTTAATATTTATTTTTAGTTATCGGCAGACACAACATCTTTGTTTGTATGTGGTGCTGAGGATCAAACCCAGTCCGCACGCATGCCAGGCGAGCATGTTACCACTTGAGCCACATCCCTAGCCCCTTAGCTTTATTTTCTTCAAACCAATCTCCCTCCCCTCACTCCATCTCTCCTACATACTGGGGATGGAAACCAGGGGCTACATCCATATCCCTTTCTCATTTTTAATCTTGAGATGGGGTCTCACTGAATTACCCCATCTGGACTTGAACTTGTGATCTTCCTGCCTCAGCCTTGCAAGAAGCTAGTTATGGTGTGTGCCACTGTCCCCCACTAAGGGCCAAATCTTTATTTTATTTTACTTATAGATGCACACAACACAATGCCTTTATTTTTTTGTGGTGCTGGGGATCGAACCCGGGTCCTGCCCGTGCTAGGCAAGCACTCTGTTGCTGAGCCACAATTCCAGCCCCATTAAAGGCCAAATCTTGAACTGCATTTGATCTTGTGACACCTGAGTATCAAGACCAAAAACAAAACTGTTTTAAAGGTATTCCATGTATATATATCCTGGAAAATAAAACGTGGAAGGCAAGGTAGTGATACACTTTTCAGTTTGCCTTTCATTTAACCTTTTGTTAAAATGGGCCATGTTCCTTGCATTAAAATCTTTGTTTGGGGGCTGGGGTTTGTGGCTCAGTGGTAGAGCGCTTGCCTTACAAGTGTGAGACCCTGGGTTCCATCCTTAGCACCACATAAAAATAAGTAAAATGAAGGTACTGTGTCCAACTACAACTAAGAAAAATATTAAAATAATATCTTGGGCTGGGGTTGTGGCTCAGCGGAAGAGTGCTTGCTGCACTCGTGTGAGACCCTGGGTTCTATCCTCAGCACCATGTAAAAATAAATAAATAAAAGATAAGATGAAATAAATAACAAGATATTGTTTATATATATATATATAATATATAATATATATTGCAAAGTCCATGTTGATGTTCATTGTTCTATGGATTTAACTTTTGAAAACTTCCCAAATAGTTGAAATATTAGACATTATTTGAGTACTTTGCTTCCTTTAAATAGCACATACATAAATCTCAGTGATACAGAGAATTAAGCATAGCCCCACTCTAATATGACATGTAAACAAAATTTTCTTCCTCTGCCCCCTTCCCCATACCAACTACCTAGCTAACTTTTTAAAAATTTTAGTTCGTTTTTCTGTTTACACTGTGAATGAGGAGCACAATGAGATTTGAGATTGAACCTCAAGACTGATAGTAAAATTTCAATAATCTTGGTGAGTTTTTTGTTTTGGTTAAACCTTTTTAACTTTTAATGTGTGTTCTTAGGGTTGCCATCTACCAGGCTTGGCACCTTTCTAGAGAATCGAGTGAATGACTTTCTGAGGCGACAGAATCATCCTGAATCAGGAGAGGTTACTGTTAGGGTTGTTCATGCTTCCGACAAAACTGTGGAGGTCAAACCAGGCATGAAAGCAAGGTATCTATTAATTTCCCTTTTTTTCTCTTATGGATCCATAGTTGTTCATATCTAGGTTCTATTGGTCATTCCAACCTGAATGATATATGTTGTGGGTTTTTTTCCCCCTAATCTGTATTGTGTAGGTTTGTAGATAGTGGAGAGATGGCAGAATCCTTTCCATACCGAACCAAAGCCCTCTTTGCCTTTGAAGAGATTGATGGTGTTGACTTGTGCTTCTTTGGCATGCATGTTCAAGAGTATGGCTCTGACTGCCCTCCACCCAACCAGAGGTATGACTGCCTTGCTATGGCTAATTTCTAATTTGTGTAGGGCTTGAAAATAATAACAGATGAAGAAGCATTACAGGGTACTAAAGGGTTTAGTGTGCTTGGTTGGAACATGARAAATCTTAAGTATTAAGTCAAACAGATTGACAAAATGGCCCCCAAACAGAAAATAACTATACAACGCTTCTCTTAAAGGATATGAGTAGCAGCCTGGAACTAAACTCATACATTTCAGAAAATTGACTTAAATCTAGGTTGCTAATATTTGGAGTAGGATGGTTAGAAATTCTGTCTCCCAAAACAGTATGAAAGGCAAGAATAAGAATTCTGGGGCTGGGGATGTGGCTCAAGCAATAGCGCGCTCGCCTGGCATGCGCGCGGCCCGGTTTCGGTCCTCAGCACCACATACAAACAAAGATGTTGTGTCCGCCGAGAACTAAAAAAAATAAATATTAAAATTCTCTCTCACTCTCTCTTTAAAAAAAAGGGGGGGGGATAGGAGTATAGTTCAATGGTAGAGCACCCCTGGGTTAAATCCCCAGCGCCACAATAAATAAAATATAACATTCTGTCTAGAATGAATGACCTCTTGGTATTCCTTCTCTTTGTGGTGTTAGATATACAACAGGGCATATTTGGGCATGTCCACCAAGTGAGGGGGATGACTACATCTTCCATTGCCATCCTCCTGACCAGAAGATACCCAAACCCAAGCGACTGCAGGAGTGGTACAAAAAGATGCTTGACAAGGCTGTGTCAGAGCGTATTGTCCATGACTACAAGGTCAGTTGGAGTATGGAAATATACTGTATTCTTGGCTACTCTGTTTTCTGTCATTTTACAAGTCTTCTGTTTGCTTCTTCCACATAATTGGTACAATTATGCTAATTTGATAAAGTGTCTTTATTTTATACAGATGAAAATTTTCAAAGAAACACTAGGTGTTAAAAGAGTTGTAGATCAAGAAATCTGTTATGGCCAATTAAAATAATAGACATGTTATTTAAACATCTTATGTGCACTAAGTTGAGGAAAACAACAATTTTTTTTTTTTCCAAGCAGCCCAGCAAACCATTCAATAGCAACAATAGTTCCCAGTATTGTAGTTTGGGTCATTTTGAACATAAAGCTTCCTGGAATGCCAATAACATAACAATTAGAAGGAGGGCTGCTAGTGCTAGTGCCATCTCTTAGACCTAGCAGGAAAATACTACACCATGTGTTTATGTTAAAGCAGAATATATTCCTGTCATCATGAGTATAGGAAAGGAAAATTGGGATACTGACATTAGACCAGGTTTTTTCACTATTCATGCATGACACTAAATATCTTCCTGACATATGGGTTAGGGATAAAATCTCAGCCAGCTTTTAGAAGACATTTTAATACTTCATCTTGTGTCTATATATAATCAATGCTTTAAGAAAACATAGAAATTACTGTACTACGATGTTTTTACAGGATATTTTTAAACAAGCTACTGAAGATCGATTGACAAGTGCGAAGGAATTGCCATACTTTGAGGGTGATTTTTGGCCCAATGTTTTGGAAGAGAGTATTAAGGAACTGGAACAAGAGGAAGAAGAGAGAAAGCGGGAAGAAAACACCAGCAATGAAAGCACTGATGTAAGGGCATTGTTTTCTTTTCACTGTCTGCCTTGAATCTTACAAATAATCCAGATAGGAGCTTCACTTTTTACCTTGGTGTGAAAGAACTCTTTTTAAATTGAGCAAGATGGCTGAGGACATAGCTCAAGAGGCATGTGTGGGGTCCTGGGTTCCATCTCCAGCACCATGAAAAAATTTTGGCAAAAAATGGTGGCTTAGAAAGATTTCTATATGACTCTGTTTCTCTGATTATCATCCTCTTTAGCATCAGACTCCCTTTCACAATTTAGATGAGTAATAAGTGATAAAAGAAACAAGAATTAATTCTGAAAAACTGACTTTGTGTGTGGTGTCGTTTTTTTTTCCCCCCCATACTGGAAATTAAAACCCAGGGCCTTGAGCATGCTRGGCATACCACTGAGCTACATCCCCAGTCGTGAAGAATTATCTATCTAAAGGGCTCAGTTATGGATATTTTAGACCTTGAGTGCYATATTACTTCTGGCATCTGTTTTCTACCTTTTTCCTTCCAGTCTCAGGAATAAAAACACAGGGCCTCATGTATGCACATGAGACAAGCACTTTACTGCAGACCTGCATTCTCAGCCACCGCCACATTCCCCCCTTTAATTTTTAAGAGCCCTTTCGTATGGCTATTAAAAATTAGGCCTGGGACAGTTTTGCTTCTCCATCACATAGAACTTGGCTTAATAACCCTGACAGTCACTTTCCAGAGCATATCTAGAATTCACTGTACTGGC